CCCTGCGTGGGCCAGTGACCCCTCCCACTAGCCCAGGTTTCTCGGAGCACCACCCAGCCTAGCCTTGAACTCCTCCAGGGAGGAGACATCAGCAAATTTAATTTCTGATCACCTGCTTTTCTTAGTGGACAAATACTTGATACAGAATCACAGAACCATAGAACAGTTTTGATTGGAAAAGACCTTCAAGATTGAGTCCAACCCTTGTCCTAGCCCTATCAACAGCACTAAACCATGTCCCTCAGCACAACATCTACCCATCTCTTAAACAACTCCAGGGATGGCATCGCAACCTTCTCCCTGGTCAGCCTGTTCCAATGGCTGACAACCCTTTCAGTAAAGAAATTCTTCCTAATATCCAACCTGAACCTCCCCGGCACAACTTAAGGCCATTTTCCCTTGTCCTATCACTTGCTACTAGGGAGAACAGACCAACTCCCACCTCACTACAACCTTTCTATTAAAATCACTAGGAATCCAAGTTGAACACAATCCTCTCTTTCTACAGGTTTAATTCTGCAGGTTGCAAAAATCAGATTTTTAATAAAACTCAGAACATCCTAGTGGTAAAACAATTATGAATCTTATGAAGCACAGAAAAGAAAAGAAAAAAATACTGTTTGTCTTCATGTTGTGAAGTTTAGGAATAAAAACCAATCTAATTCACGTGAAACAGAAAAGTTAACTTTGTAGATCAAAAGGCAAGAAACCTTATACATGAAAATCCTGCCCAACATGTTTAAATTGGAGAGCCCGCATCTCCAGCAAAGCCTCTGGCCAAAGCCTTAATGAACATAACACTTCATGAGACTTGTGTGCTACAATAAGCTTTCTATGAATACTGCAAGAGAGAAGAAAATGAGGGTAGCAAAAGTATCGCTGACTTAGGCTGACTGAGTCATAGGAATTTCCAAGCAGCCTCAACAGCATTGATCTTCGTTAACAGCTGAACTAAGTCTATAGTGCACCTCTTATCCGTGGTTTGATAAGCAGGTTTCACTGAAAGAATCTGACTTCAGCTAAGTTGAGTGCCAGGTGGGACTCATCTAGCTTTAGAGCAACCAGAATTAGAGGCCTGAATAGAAATTTGATTTATCACATCCTCCATAGGCAGAAAGAGGTATCTTCAAAGGAAGACCATCCACATGTATCCAAAAATTAGAAGAAACTCTCTTGAAGGTGCCTATTTGCCTCAGCTGAATATAGCAGGAGCTCTAGATGACTAGCCTCAACTTGGGACACATCTTTTGGTGGACTGAAGTTCATATAGAAGGATGCTATCCAGCCCTGTCCATGCACCATCTTCTAAGCCATGCAAAAGTTCATGCTCTTGAGGAGATGGAGAACCACACCATGAAGGTTTGGCTCAGCACCCATTAGATAGACCCAAAAGGTTTTGATCTGAGCAGTTGTTAGGTTAGGCCCTAAAACAGTAACCTACAATGCATTACTGGTTTCTGCCAGTGTCATTGGGTATAACTCAGCTAGGGAAGAGAAAATGTCCACATCTGAAGGAGAACAAAGCCTTCTCTGTGTCTGGCCTGCAGAAAAAAAAAGGGACAGGGTAGTCCTGGCCCAGGGTCTGGTGGGATCCCTTCCCACTAGAAATTCACAAAACCTCACTGAAATCTTTCTGACCTTCTTGGGGTTCTTACAACCCTCCCCAATGTTATGCCATCACACTACTCAACAGCTTACTGTTTAAGAGGGTGTTATGTGCTAATCTGAGAAGACGACATGCTTCCACCAAGGCCAGGTTTCAGTTTGAGGGCACTAGTGCTTATGTGCCTGGTAGAGATGTCCTGTATTCACACGCCATCCACACTGGTGGGTTTTCACTAGCTACCCCTGAACCAGTGGAGGTCTGCATGTCACAGCTGGGCTGGGCATGAACAGCAGCATGTGGGAGAAACCCACAGGGCCCTTCCCGAGGTAAGAGACCTTCTTCTGTTTTTCCAAGAGGCTACAAGCAAGAAGAGAGTGTGCAGTTATGCCTTGATAATATATGGCCTATACCGTCCTCTTAAACCTCTGTTGCATTATACACATGCAGGCACACAGATTGACTGCAATGTTTTCTGTTGCGATCCTCATTGGCCAGGAAGCACTGGATCTACTGCTGAGGAGGTAACCTGAAGGTCACAGTTGATAGTGTTCTCTGTAACCTTTCCCCACCCTCGGGGATGCCAGGCTCAGGTGAGACACCACCCTCCTGCACAGGTTTGACTTTGGCTGCTGAGGAAGCCACCGAGCTCTAAGAAAGTTGCGGGGAAAGTCTGCAGAATAAAACCTTTCAAGATAAGAAAGGCAAAGGCAGAGATAGGGTTGCTGAGACAGGTGTCATTAACAGGTCAAAGATTCAAGAGGAAGAACTAACACCAAAAGGTAAAAGAGTCCTAAGGGAGAGTTGGTGGGTGATGGCAACTCAGCCACACAAAGGATGGGCTCCAGGCACCCTTCTCCTTCCAGCTAAGGTCTGCTCCCAGCTAAGTCAGCAAATGTTCTTCAGACAGTTTCTCAGGGTGGTGAACACAGTAATGCTTAGCTGGAATTTAAGAAGCTGCTAGGCTGTTTTGCGTCTGTTGGCCAACAACTCATTATTTTATACTTATTTTAAAACATGTTTATAGGATGATTTTTTTGTGCACTGCTAAGTTTAGGTAAACAACATAATCAAAAGACCATCAGGATAGCAGCATTTTATAAGATAACACTTACCGACTTGCCTTTACTTGTACTTGTTGCAGCTGTAGAGGGAAAAAATATAGTAAGTTAACAGAAACCATTAACATTCCTTTAAAACCAATGGAAGACATCGGAAAAGTTCAGCTCAAAACAAATGATGAAATACAAACACAGTATTGTCCAGGATGAAAAAAAAAATCAGTTTGTTGAAGGAGGACTTCTCATTGTGCAAGAAGGTTGTTATAAGAAAAATTTCACTTAGTAGCCTTTTATTTTTCAGGCTTACGCATATACTGACATACAGTCCCAAGAAAAAATCCAGAAGGACTGATGGGACAAAGCATCCTATCCTACTATGAATGCTCACCATACATCATTCAAGGCAGTGGCAGACCATTCTACCACCCACAGAAGGTTAATTGTGTTCCAGTTCACTCTCAGGGATGTTACCTTAAAAGACAAGTCAAGAGTAAGGAACACACTCAAGATGCTCTGCCAGGTGTGGATGCCAAGTCCTGAAAAGGGAAAAAACTTCCCAGAGCTCAATATCAAGAAGGGCTGAACACATCAGCCAGAGCAATCCACATTTGTGTCCAGGTTATGGGAATCTCTGCTCACTTAGGGAGCCCCAAAAGCACAGGAGGGGTGCCACTGAGCTCAGCAAGAGCAGACAACTGCTCACTGCAGGTTTGTTCCCCTGGTAGCCCTCAGAGTAGTGTCCTGCAGGTCTTGCTCAGCTCAGGGAACAGGCTCAAAGGCTGAGCTCACACGACTTCGGATAAAGTGCCCACATAGTGGATGTCAGCATTTCCCATAAAAGCACATGAGTGAATTCATTATCATTAAGATAAGACCGAGTACAAGATGTGAACTTTGAAATCCATGCTCGCAAATGAAGTGTGTCCACAACAGATCTCCATAAGAAAAATGTTTGCAGACATCACGTAGTCCATAGTTCACCACAGATGAAAAATAACTGATGGCAACACTACTGTGTTTGACAAAATACAAATCACATTCAAAAGTTATTAAAACAGATTGATCTTATCCTTTCCTTCACTGCCACAGACAACTACCTTCACAAAGACTGCAACGTTACACAGGTAATTCAACAACATATTTTCCTAGAAAACAAGTAACATCCAGAAAGTGCTGACACACCAATTTCAGGGCACATGTAGATACACGAGTCATTGAAGTTATTGGCAACATTCCTTACACAACTCAAGTGAACAGATACACTGAAGAATATCGAGGTGTTAGCACCATATTATCTCCGTAACAACTCCTTGATTATTTTCAGTTGGCCTTTCCAGTGCACATATATCACACTGACAGTTCTTCATAACATGTACATGGAACATTAGTTTGAGCAGCTCACTCCTGTCCATTAGCTAAGCTTTGGGGAAAAAATACCAAGGAACTTGTAGTTGGTTGGGTTTTTTACTTTCCAGAGGTAAAAGTATCACTTCTACAGGAAACCTGACACAGGGGGCATCAGAGGCATTTTTTTTTTCCTAGAAAACATTGACCAACTTCAATGTTTAAGATATGGTAATTTCTCAACCATTTTTTCCTTGACCCTGCTATTCTCCTTTACAGCAGCAATCGGGAAACTCCTGATAGCATTAAAGTCAGCATTTCAACACAGGCACCTAAACTGTCTGAGAAGCTCCATCGTCAGGCAGCTTCAGGGTTAGATGGAAGAGGGGGGGGGAAAGAAATAAAAGAGCCTCCAGCATTTTGCATTCATTTCACCTATAAATCTGCATTTTGCTAGTGGCACACTGGAGTAGTCCCTTTTTTGGACAACCCTTAGTACCTCTCATTCTCTCCCCATAAATAACAACCTGCAGAACTGCCACTCAGTTTTCTGCTTGACAACTGAATCTAAATAGTTATTCATTGCTGGGTCATTCTCTCCTTCTCACATTCGCAGGCAAGATGAAGGGCAGGCTTATGGCTCTGACCCCTTCCCCAGCAGCTCTCACCAGTACAGTTTCCTGTAGTCACAGGGATGCTGTGCGATGCTGCAGCTCTTGCAGTTTACGGTCCACGTCACAAGATGGGAGCACATTGCCTTGCTCCACGCAGCCAGCACAGCAACGTCACCTGGTTGAAACACTTCATATCTAAATCTGAACACAACCATACTGTCACCTGGGATGGTCCTGGCTCCAGAGCAAGCCCACTCTCCTGCTACCTGACTGTTGGCACAGCCAAGCTTTTTGACCCTACTCCTTGAAGCAGCCTCACAGCTCCTACACAAGTAACTCCAAGAGTCTCTGCTTCACACCTCACTCTTCCAGAAAGACGCCAACATGGAAAACACCAAAACAAACCTATAATGCAGCAAACCTGATGTTACGTGAGCAGACCAAGCTGCATCAGGTTTCTCTCTTCCCAGAGTCATCACTGTTTTTCAAGTTGGCTGCTTAAGCCAGTGAGACCCTGATGCCCCTCAGGGTAGCAGCATTGCCAATCTCTCTGCCTGTTCATCACTACAGTTGCCTTTCCCCAGAGTGCAGATTTGCCTTCTGAAGACCCAGTGGTACATTCTCATTATTTTGGGCACATCAGATTTCTCCCTGATGCAAAACAAGGAACTCAGCTCAAGAATTGCTTGCTAGGAGAGGCACACCAACACACTCAGATGCTGCAGGACCAAGGGTCAAGGGAAGGGCAATAGAGATCTGCACCGCTGAAAAGCATCATTTGTGCCTTTACTACTTGTGTCAATGTTTAGACACGGAAAAATATCTTCAGCATTAGCTAGGTAAATAGGCTCTGCCCTTCCACTTATGTTTCTCTGTATTTAAAAGACACTGATTAGGTCAGCCCTAGATAAACACTCTTGTGAAAAAGCATTATTTAATAGCTGCAAGAAACACTTTGTTTAACTTCTGCTAGGATTTTAAACTTCACATGCCTTAAAACTTTAAGATAAACCTTCAGCTTCAAAAGAGGTTCAGCTTCAAGAGAGGTTCAGCTCCAAGAGCTTGCAGAGGCTAAGGCAACATCACTTGGCTTTCACTAGGGCTCCAAGGCAAGTTCACGCAAGCTTGCCTACAGCACCTCCAGAGGGAGAGCTGCCCCGGAGGACGAGGGGCTGATGAAGAAGCAACAGCTGGGGATGACCCAGAGGAGCACAGGGCACACCAGGTTGTCCTCAGACCTGCACCAAGCAGCAGAGCCAACCCTGGGGTCCTGGCACCCTCTGGCCACACTGCCAGCTCTCCAGTACGGACACCAGATGGGAGGGAGGGAGGGAGTCTGCTTGAGGATCCCCACCCGGTGCCCAGCCCGGACGGGACATCCCTCTGGAGACCCCCGCCACCGCCCAAAACCCGTGTCCACCACCTCTTC